CAACCAGGCCAGCAGGGGAGTGCAGTTATGGGTGATCAGGCCAGCAGGGGCAGGCGGCAGTTAGGGGCGACCAGGCTGGCAAGGGAGGGAAGTTAGGGATGACTGGGCCAACAGGGGAGGGCAGTTGGGGAGAACCAGGCCTGCAAGGGAGGACAGTTAGGGGCGACCAAGCCTTCAGAGGAGGGCTGTTGGGGGAAATTGGGCCGGCAGGGGAGCAGTTAGGTGTCGATCTGGCTGGCAGGGGAGTGGTTAGGGAGTGATCAGGCTGGCAGGCAGAAGCGGTTAGGGGCAATCAGACAGGCAGGCAGACGAGTGGTTGGGAGCCAGCAGTCCTGGATTGTGAGAGGGATTTCCGAGTGCCCACGGGATCGGGCCTAAACGTGCAGTCGGACGTCCCTTTCTGGGTCCCAGAATCGAGAGGGTGTAGGCTGGGCTGAAGGACACAACCCCTCCCCCTGTGCATGAATTTTGTGCACCGTACCTCTAGTCCTATCTAATAAAAGAGAAACATGGTAATTAGCGTATGACTGCTACCCTTCCCATTGGCTAATCAGGGCGATATGCAAATTAACTGCCAGCCAAGATGGCGGCTGGCAGCCAGGTAGCTTGAAACTAACATGAGGCTTCCTTGCTTCAGTGACAGAGGAAACCAACGTTACCCACCTGCCTTGCCGGCTTCTGAGCCTGCAATTTAAGAAACATTGTAACAAATATAGAAGCTAAACAAAACCCCAGAAACCAGCTTTCAGCTGGCTGGGATCTCAGAGCTGGAGCTAATACAGAGTTTCGATTATAGAACCTAAACAAACCAGATACCTACTGTCAGCAGCTGAGGCCTCAGAGCTGGAGCCAGAGCTAAAGATGGCCCAGAATAAAAAAGAAAAAAAAGAAAAAAAGGAGCAGTTGGGAGCTTCAGTCCCAGCCTGAAAACAGCCCTCAGCCCCTCACCCAGACTGGCCAGGCACCCCAGTGGGGACCCCCACCCTGAAGGATGTGTGACCAGCTGCAAACAGCCATCATCCCCTCACCCGGCTGGCCTGGCACTCCAGTGGGGATCCCCACCCTGATCCAGGACACCCTTCAGGGCAAACCAGCCAGCCCCCACACATGCACCAGGCCTCTATTCTATATAGTAAAAGGGTAATATGCCCCCCAGCACCAGGATCAGCGGAGCCTCGAGGCCTCCCGGCATCAGGATCAGCGTGACAGGCCAGCGCCCAAACCCCCTGATCGCCCTGCGGCTCTGTGTGTGACAGGGGGCAGGGCCACAACCTCTCTATCAGCCCTGCTCTGTTCCTGACAAGGGAAGGCGCCCCAACCCTCTGATCGCCCCTGCTCTGTGCCTGATAGGGGGAGCTCCCCAACCCCCTGATCACCCTGTGGCTCTGTGTGTGACAGGGTGCGGCACCCCAACCCCCACCCCCACCCCCACCCCCACCCCATGGGCCCTGCTCTGTGACGGAGTAGAGCCATAACCTCCCCATCGGCCCTGCCCTGAGTGTGAGAGTGGCGGCACCCCAACCCCCTGATCGGCCCTGCTCTGTGGGTGATAGAGGGCGGCACCCGAACCCCCTGATCCGCCCTGCTCTATGTGTGACAGGGGGCAGTGCCCCAACTCCCCTTTCGGCCCTACTCTGTGAGTGACAGGTGGGAGCTCCTCAACCCCCTGATGGGCCCTGCTCTGTGCGTGACAGGGGGCAGCTCCCCAACCCCCTGATGGGCCCTGCTCTGTGTGTGACAGGGGGGAGCTCCCCAACCCCCCGATCTACCCTGCTCTGTGCATGACGGGGGGCGGTGCCCCAACTCCCCAATCGGCCCTGCTCTGAGCCCGACCAGGGGCTGCACCTAGGGATTAGGCCTGCCCTCTGCCACCCGGGAGCAGGCCTAAGCCAGCAGGTCGTTATCTCCCGAGGGGTCCCAGCATGTGAGAGGGCACAGGCCGGGCTGAGGGACCCCCCTCCCCCCCCCGAGTGCACAAATTTTTGTGCACTGGGCTGCTAGTATATATATAAAAGCCTAACATGCAAATTGTCCTCTGGGGAGTTCAACCAACCAGGAGTTTGATCACTTGCTGTGATGTGCATTGACCACCAGGGGGCGGCGTGGAGAAAAGGGAGGCCCTGGCTGGCAGCTGGCTGCCACTAGGGACCCTACCCATGTATGAATTTTGTGCACTGGTCCTCTAGTTTGACCATAAAATGCAATGTGCTGATAACATGCTGCAGCATGGATGAATCTTGAAAACATGCCTAAGAAGCTAGACACAAATGGTTATATGTTGTATGACTTGAGTTATATTAACACATTTCGTACCGCTCAGGAGTTTTCTCGTGTTTCGCGCGCCATCTGTTACGGACTGCTCACGAGTGTTCTCCTTTTTATTCCCATGGAAAAAGGAGCGAATCTAGATACTTACGTAAATTTTGTTTGGTCCCTCTTCATAGAGGAAAATGTTTTACGCATTACCATATGTTAAAAAAGTACTAGGAACTTTAATTGTTTAATTGTTTTTGTAAATAAAAATGCTATAATTATTGAAAAACAACACCTAAAGTGCATTATGATGATTTAAATAACGTGCAGTTTGCCCAAAAACGTGCTGTCCCTCCCGTATGTCTTAGAGATTTCTATGCGATACACAATGTGTTAAGAATCCAGAATAGGCAAATCCATAGAGATAGAAAGCAGATTAGTGGTTGCCAGGAGCAAGGGTAAAAGGGGAAGTATAGTGACTGTTTAATGGGTGCAGTGTTTCCTCTGGTAATAAGTATTTTGGAATTAGAGGCAATAGTGCGTAGTGTTGGGATTGTTGTAAATATCACTGCATTGTTTACTTGAAATGGTTAATTTTATGTTACATTAGTTTTATGTTAATTTTTAAAAATATATTTTTATTGATTTTTTAGAGAGAGTGGAGGGAAGAGTGAGAGATATAATCATCGATGGGAGATTAACATCCACCGACTGCCTTCTGCATGCCCCCTAGTGACTTCTTGGTTTAAGGGTTGACGCTCAGCCACTGAGCCACACTGGCTGAGAATGTTAATAATTTTTAAAAGCCATATTGTTAGCTTCTAATTGATCCTATGAAAGAAAGTAGATTGTGGAACTAAATTCATGTGTAGTTTCCTGGATGTACTTGAGGATAATGTTCCATTAAAACGGCGGTCAGCCTGCCCTAGCTGGTTTGGCTCAGTGGATAGAGCGTTGGCCTACCTACGGACTAGGGGGTCCTGGGTTTCATACTGGTCAAGGGTGCACATGCTCAGGTTGTAGGCTCAATCCCCAGTAGGAGATGTGCAGGAGGTGGCCAATCAATGATTCTCTCTCATCATTGATGTTTCTATCTCCCACTCTGTCCCTCTCTAAAATCAATAAAAATATATTTTAAAAAAAGTTAAATGGTGTTCAGCCTGCTAAACAAAGGTAAAGAAATATTCAACAATATATGGATTTTAAGTGTGTTGAGTAAATTTCTCTTTCATAAACAGTTCTCTGTGTATTGAGTTGATTCATACCTTGCGTATCAATGTGAAGTATCTACAGATATGCATTTGTAAGAACGGTATGCCATATATGCCAGGTCCCTTGAAACAGCAAGGGTGGACTGGCTCCCGGCAGGATAGTAGTTGTTTTTCCAAATCATGTCACTGATACTGTATGACACTATGCATTGTAATTTGATAGATTTTTGCCCATAGTTTCTTCTGACTTTTCCCAATCATAAAATTTGTGAAGTGGTTTGTGCTTAGTTTACAAGCTTCCTGGCAATTGAATAAATTGTGCTTGTTTCTGTGCTGAGGAGTATAACTTAAAAGTTCTTTAATCTTGGTTTGTCCTCAATTTTTTGGACAAAATTTGCTAATTTCCATCTGGAAAGGATTTGGGTGGGAAATTGTTTTGTTGAAATTCATTTGTTGTATCAAAGAGGTCACTATTGGGCGGGGGGTAGGGGCGGGCTAGAAGGGGTCAATTGGGGAAAAGAAGGGACATCTGTAGTACTTTCAACAATAAAGATTAAAAAAAGAGGTCACTGTTTTGTTTGAAAGTAACTGAAGGGTTTTAGCAGCCTTATATCACCATTTGTTAAAATCTTATTTTGACCACACAGTGAGCTCTAGGGACATATCAAAGTCAGTTAAATGTTATCTAATACATGACAATGATTGTACCTTCTGTTTTGTGCTTTTCTTTTTTGATGTGTGTGAAATCATCAGACTTACAGATTTGTGTGTATCAACAATATTCATATTCTCTATCATTGGAGTCATTCACTATCACATTAATTATCTCAATCTGTAGTGGTGTTTGGTACTGTTTTCAGAAACATTTTTACACTTCAGTGAATTGCTTTTTGGATGGCTGTTTAATTTTGTGAATAGGGGACATGATGAAACAATGGGAAAACAAAAAAATACAAATTTAACCAAGTAAATAGTAATTTTAAACTCTGAATATAGTCCAGATGAACTGAACGTTAGTTCTTGTAAGGTGTCCAACCTTTAAGAACTATAATATAATTTCTGTGGAAATAATAATTTTACATTACAAATTTATAATATATATGTACAAATCTGCTTTTCCCTCTCAAACTTCTAGAGATTTGTGGATCACTTGATAAATTCTAGAGACTAACTGACAGTAATTTATCCTGAGGACTCCAGTGCCTTAGTTCATTGTTTTCCAACTTCAATCATTCACATACCTTTTTGACAACATTTTTCATATTTTGCAGTTAGAGTTAGATTTGGATTAAAATAACAGAGACATCCAATAACAGTGATTTAAAAAATATAGTTTATTTTGGCATCACCTAAAAGTCTGGAAGTAGGTGAAAAAGGACTAGTATAGTAGTAGTAGTTCTGTTAAACAGAGTATTCAGGGAGCCAGTTTCGTTTTGTCTCATTATTCTGCTATGTATAAGCCTTCATTGCCAAGGTCACCTTACAAACCTAGATGGCTTCTTTAGTTTCAACCATCATCTGTATTCTAATCAGCAGGAATGAAAAAGGAGTGAAGAAGTGGAAGATTGAGAGGACAAATGCTAGCTCTCTTTTAAGAAAGGTTTCTGGAAGCTGTCATAGGTAACTTTGTTTAGATCTTAAACTGTCCAGAATTTAGGCACATGGCCATACCTAGATATGAGAAGCCTGTGAAATGTATTCTTTTTTCTGATGGCATGTGCCCAGTGAAAATTTGAGGGTTTTGTTACTGGGAAGAATTGCATCTGCTTTTTTATGATATCACTTTTACTCTTATTTCCTTAATATTTTTCTTTATGTTCGATCCTTTATTACTTAAATAACTGTATTTGAAAGAGAACAAATCTGTTCATTTTTTGCCTTGACCTTCTGTCATCCCCAAATAATTTCTTCCCATTTTATGAAATGCCGCCCTAGTGCATAAATGTGCAGGTGCACAAGTATATATGTATGTGTGTCTGTCTATCTACACATCTGTGTATCTAGTAATATAGATAAACAATTTTACTATTTAATATAGGGTTCTTCTAGAATGAAACAAATATACTTGTAAAATTGTTTTATAGTTTAGCATTTGGTGGTTTATGAACAAATTCTTTAGATGTATTATTGAAAGTGTTTATATTTTGCTAGTAACTATTTTCTCAAGAACCTTTGAAAGATTTTCATTTGAAAATGAAAATAATGATATTTTTGTATGCTGTATTTGGCTATTTTATTTTATTGCTGGTCATTTTTAGTTGCCACCTTGCTGGGTGATCTTAAGGAAAGGAAGAGAAAAAGAATTATGCTTATGACTGGGCGCTATGACGTGCACTGACCACCAGAGGGCAGACGCTCAACACAGGAGCTGCCCCCTCGTGGTCAGTGCGCTCCCACAGGGGGAACTCCACTCAGTCACAAGCTGGGCTGATGGCTGCAAGTGCAGCGGTTAGCAAGAGCTCCCGGGCTGCCAGAGGGATATCTGACTGCCAGCTTAGACCCGATCCCCCTGGAAGTGGACAAAAGCCGCAGGTAGACATCCCCCGAATGATCCTGGACTGCGAGAAAGTGCAGGTCGGACTGAGGGGACTCCCTCTCCCCCAGGGCCTCTAGTATTTAATTAAAATCCTCTCTAATAAAAGAGAAACATGGTAATTAGCGTACGACCGCTACCCTTCCCATTGGCAAATCAGGGCAATATGCAAATTAACTGCCAGCCAAGATGGCGGCCGGCAGCCAGGCAGCTTAAAGCGAACATGAGGCTTGCTTGCTTCAGTGATGGAGGACTCCAACGTTCCCCGCCTGCCGCTGCCGGCCTCTGAGTTGCAACTCTAAGCAACTATGTTACAAATATAGAAGCTAAACCAGCCGTGGGCAAACTACGGCCCGCGGGCTGGATCCGGTCCGTTTGAAATGAATAAAACTATTGAAAAAAAGGACTGTACCCTTTTATGTAATGATGTTTGGTTTGAATTTATATTAGTTCACACAAACACTCCATCCATGCTTTTGTTCCGACCCTCCGGTCCAGTTTAAGAACCCATTGTGGCCCTCGAGTCAAAAAGTTTGCCCACCCCTGAGCTAAACAAAAACCCCAGAAGCCTGCTTTAGTTGCCGGGCTTCAGCCAGCAGGATCGCAACATTGTTTCAAATAAAGAAGGTAAACAAAGGCCAGAAACCTGCTTTCAGCAGAGGAGGCCTAAGAGCTGGAGCCTCAGAGCTAAAGCTGGCCCAGAATAAAAAAAGAAAAAGAAAAAAAGGAGCGGTTGGGAGCTTCAGTCACCCACCAGCCTGAAAACAGCCCTCAGCCCCTCACCCAGACTGGCCAGGCACCCCAGTGCGGACCCCCACCCTGAAGGATGTGTGACCAGCTGCAAACAGCCATCATCCCCTCATCCAGGGTGGCCAGGCACCCCAGTGGGGACCCCCATCCTGATCCAGGACACCCTTCAGGGCAAACCAGCCGGCCCCACCCATGCACCAGGCCTCTATCCTATATAGTAAAAGGGTAATATACCTCCCAGCACCGGGATCAGCATGACAGGAGGCAGCGCCCAAAACCCCTGATTGCCCTGTGGCTCTGTGTGGACAAGGGGCGGGGCCTCAACATCCCTATCCGCCCTGCTCTGTTCGTGACAGGGGAAGGTGCCCCAACCCGCTGATCGGCCCTGCTCTGTGCCTGATGGGGGGAGATCCCCAACACCCTGATTGCCTTGCAGCTCTGTGTGTGACAGGGTGTGGCACCCCAATCCCTCCCCCTCCCCCCACGGGCCCTGCTCTGTGTGTGACGGGGTAGAGCCATAATCTCCCCATCGGCCCTGCCCTGAGTGTGACAGTGGTGGCGCCCCAACCCCCTAATTGGCCCTGCTCTGTGGGTGATAGAGGGCGACGCCCCAACCGCCCCCCACGGGCCCTGCTCTGTGTGTGAAGGCGTAGAGCCATAACCTCCCCATCGGCCTTGCCATGAGTGTGACAGGGGGCGGTTCCCCAACTCCCCTATCGGCCCTACTCTGTGAGTGACAGGGGGGAGCTCCCCAACCCCCTAATCGGCCCTGCTCTGTGCGTGACAGGGTACGGAGCCCCAACCCCCCTGATGGGCCCTGCTCTGTGAGTGACAGGGGGCAGCGCCCCAACCCCCTGATTGGCCCTGCTCTGTGCGTGACAGGGGGTGGCGCCGCAACCTGCCCATTGACCCTGCCTTGAGTATGACAGGGGGCGGTGCCCCAACCCCCCAATAGGCCCTACCCTGAGCGTGACTGAGGGTGGCATCGCAACCTCCCGATTCACCCTGCTCTGTGCATGATAAAGGGCGGTGCCCCAACTCCCCAATCGGCCCTGCTCTGAGCCTGACCAGGGGCTGCACCTAGGGATTGGGCCTACCCTCTGCCACCCGGGAGCAGGCCTAAGCCAGCAGGCCGTTATCTCCCGAGGGGTCCCAGACTGCGAGAGGGCCCAGGCCGGGTTGAGGGACCCCCCCCCCCCCCCCAGTGCACAAATTTTTGTGCACTGGGCCTCTAGTAGAAAGTATAAAGCAATACCTTATTTCTACTTGTTTCTACTTGTATGTATTATTGTTAGGCAATGGATTACACTATTGACACTATTCTGTTTATGGAAGTATGCATGGATTTATCTATAGTATTTGTATTTATTGGAGAATAAAACTACCAGAATTTCTCAGTACATTTATCTTGTGTTTGTGATAGCTTAAATTTAGATCCCCTAGTGCTGATACATGATCTAATTTGGGGAGAACAAAAATGTTATCAGGGGAGTTTCGAATGAATCCAAAAAGGATCAAAGTTTGCATATTAAACTACATGAAGAAAACCTAGAGAAATGGGAGATTTTTAAATCTAGAAAATAAACTTTAAAACAATTTGTGTACTCTGCAAGCATTTATTGACCACCAACTGTGTGTTCAGAATGTTACTGCCCTTCCCCCTTGTAACCAGAGAGAAGCAATTTTCAACCTTTTTCATCTCATAGCACACTTAAACAATTTACTAAAATTCTGCATTACACCAAAAAAATATTTTAAAAAGATACAATTTTCATTCATTCATACTGGACAACATTTGACAATCTAAGGGTGAAAAGAGGTCAATACCCCTGACTAAATAGCCAGGTATTGCATGTTTTAAAAATTCTTGTGGCACACAGGTTGATAATCAATTTCATAGATTATCAGTAAGATGTACAATTTATTGGAAATGATACAGACAGGAAAAATTACTGACTGGATGAATTCAGTTTAGCTGAGTTAACATTTTCCTCTATTCTGACCACCACCATATTTGTTTTGAAGCAATAAGACAAACATTTCAAAGGAGATGGAAACAAGATGATTGTTTCTACCTTTTTTTCCTTATCATTCCATAACTTTGATTACATGTTTTTGTGTCATATCGATTCACTGTGTCATGTTCTTTTAGTTCAAAAAAATATAGGAATTTTTATTTGGATTAAATTTGGGATTTAATCTCAAAAGTCTCTTTCCCCTAATTTTTATATAGGTGAACAATACTATTATATAATTCATCTCTGCTATTCAAAGTAATATGGCTGGCAAGAGTTGATGGATATTTATAAATAGAATTATTATTAAATTTAGCTTTTGGTTATCAAATTTCAAATTTGCAGCTGTTTTCTTAAAGCACAATGAAAAATTTCATTTTATTACCTCTACTTCCCATTGTTTCTGATGAATGCTTGAAAGCCTTTCTTATCTTACTACTTCTAAGAAACTCTGTCCTGTTTTTCTTCTTACTGTCTTTACTAAATTTTTTTTTATCTTTGGTTTTAAGTAATTTTACATGGGAAAAATCAAGTATAGATTTCTTAAAATACTGTCTGTGTTTGGTAATCCCAATATCTGGATCTCCTTGGAGTGTATTTTTACTGTCTTTTGTTTCTGTTGGTTCTTGTATCTATTGCTTCCTGATTTTTCTGGTTGTCTCTTGATTGTATACTGGACTGTACTTGAAAACCATTTGCAGACTTAATTTGAGACCTGGGGTTATATTTTTTTCTTCAGAATTTATTTTGAATAGTTTACTTGTGACAGTACTCAGGGGGGCATTAGCAGTCTAGGATCACTTTAATCCAATTTCAGGGATTAGAATTTTCTGAGCTACCTAGATGACTCCAAATCAGTCAATTCTTTTACTTCTTGTTCACCTTACTACTACAGTGGAATTTTTCAGGATCACAATAAAAAATGATTGTTTTTTTGCCCTGACCGGTTTGGTTCCGTGGATAGAGCTTCGGCCTGCGGACTTAAGGGTCCCGGGTTCGATTCCGTTCAAGAGCATGTACCTTGGTTGCGGGCACATCCCCAGTAGGAGGAGTGCAGGAGGCAGCTGGTCGATGTTTCTCTCTCATCGATGTTTCTAACTCTCTATCCCTCTCCCTTCCTCTGTGTAAAAAATCAATAAAATATATATTTTTTAAAAATTAAAAAAAATGGTTGTTTTTGTTGTTTCTCCCTAGGCTTTGTAGCTGTCAAACATACTTTTTAGCCTCAAACCAACTTTTCTACAATTCCCTCAGAGCAAACATGAACCCACATGCTAAATTTCCCTTTCTGGATTTCTTTTTTTTTTTTTTTTTTTTTTTTT